GTGAAAACGAAGATAGTATACTTATGCCTGCAACATCCTACCGTGGCAAGTAAAGCATGAAAAACATGTTTTGAACTTGCCACACTTATGCCTGCAACATCCACGATTATATATATATATATATATATAATCAATTGAACTACATATATACAATTGAGTGTATACAATAACGTTGGAACAATAAAATTGAGAATTCAATTATCAAATTTCTCTCCTTTTGGACTACACAAAACCGAAATTGGGTGCAACAAATTCAGATAAATAATTAAATTCAGATTTTGCCCAAGTTATGAATCTCCATACGCCAACTACATATATAATTCCAAAATATAGTTATATGCTAAGTGAAGCAAGTTCCTAATTAATACAATTTAATAAAGTGCAGCATAATCCTAATTACTTACAATACCAAAAGAATCGGAGGCTCCTAAATATCACCGGCAAGCAAAGCTCTAGCCCACTCCTCTTTTTCATCACCAGGGATACTAAAAAAGTAAGAAACTAAAGCATCATCTTTTATCATCATCCGAGCTACCTTATGTCGTTCAAGTGCGGTAATGGTTGTGGTCCTTTGTAGCTCATCCCTAATCCGGCTATGTTTTTCTGTCATGTCTTCACTGATAGCCCGACTTAAACGTTCACTTGCCTTTTCAATAACACCAGCAAGTAAAGCAGATGATCTTTCAATGGCTTCATAAGCCCCCGAGTCCTTTGTAGTCTTCCTTTTTCTTTTTGACGACCCTTGAGATTGAGCTTGAGTTGGAGGAATAGCCGATGCTTGTGAGAAAGACATTGACTGTGCTTCATCCACAAAGGTAGTATTGTGAATGTCATTGACAAAATCATTGTCAATATTAATATCATCAGTTGATTCTTTTTCAAGTTCCTTAATTACATCAGCAGCAGCCTCGGCACCCATACCTGTTGCACGATCTTTGCCGAAAACCATACACAAGTCCTCATAGTAGGAAAAAGCCTTGGTCTTAAACGGTAACACTTCCTTGTGACTCTGAATTTTAATACAATGAAACATTAGCATAATCCTGTCCATACCTGCTTCGAAGTTCATTCATGCCCCAAGACCATTTAAATTATATGTTGACATGGTATGCAAGTTAATAATATTGGACGTGCATAACAACATAACATTGTCCTTAACCATAAAATTGTGACGTGCATGCATGTAATGTCCTTCACCATAAAATT